TTGTTTTGTTTTTTTTGAATGTCCAGAGGACCAGATTTAACTTTTTTAGAATAAGAGAAATGACATTTCCTGCGAAAAAGCAGTGTGAATTCTTATCGCTGAAGAACTTGCTGAAAAACAGCTGAAATTAGCTAAAAACATGCTGAAATGGAAGAACAAGCCCAAGTTAGCAGAAGAAAGCAGAAAACACGTTTGATGAATTAGGTTTAAATAAGCAGAAATGGGCACATAAATTAGGAAATTCATTAAAAAAGCTGAAATTAGCAACAACAAAAAAAATAGCTGAAAAGTAGCAGAAAAGGCAGAAAGAAGCTTAAACTGCCAGACGGAAGTGGAAGGAGTGGAAATGAGCTAAAATAATGTGAAATTCACTGAAAAAGCTAAATTTGGCACAAAAACAGAGAAAAAGTAGCTGAAACAACAGAAAAATGACAGAAACTAATGGAGAAAAGCTGAAACTGAAATTCACAAAAAGAAGTTAATTAAGCTGCAAGTAGCAGAAATTACCACAAAAAATTGAATTTATCTGAAAACAGCTGAAATCGGCTATAAAATGCTAAAAAAATAAAATAAAAAAAGTTGCTGAAAGTTAGAACAAGCTTAAATTAGCAGAAAGAACACATATTTTCTGTAAGACGCAGAAATGAGCAAAAAAAGGTGGGAAATATCTGAAAGAGCTGAAATGAGCAAAAAACACTTGAAAAGTAGCTTAAAAGGCAGAAAGAAGCAGAAATTACATGAATGAAGTGAAGAGAGCACATTTTTGCTGAATTAGGCTGAAAAAAAATTGAAATGAGTGCAAAAACTTTGGAATTACCGTTGATGAAGAAAACTTAAATTAGCATAAAAACAGCTATATAGAGGCTGAAATAGTAGAAAAAGCTGAAACTTGCAGAAATAAGCTGAAAGGAGCATAACAAGCTGAAATTCCCAGAAAGAAGTTAGAAGAAGCATAAAACGCTGTTGTTAGGAGAAACAAATTGAAAGGCGCACAAAAGAGCTGAAAAAATAGCTGAAAGTAGCTGAAATTAGCTGCAAAAATGTTTAAATTTGCACAAGGGAGCTGAATGAAGCTGAACCAGAACAAAATGTGAAAGGAGCAGTAAAAGGTTGTAAACTGATCTGAAGATTTGAAGGATGTAAAATGAGCTCAATTAATTTTCTATGAGGAAAAAAGTGGCAGAAAAGGCTAAATATTTCAAAAAGCTAAAGTTGCACCAATACCAAAAGTCATAGCAGGATTGTCCTGAAAGAGCTGAACGTTTTGAAATATGATTTGTCGAAATAGCTTGAAAACTGCGGGACGAGAACCGCGCTGTAAAAATGTACGGAAGAAAAATGGATCACAGTAATGAGAATGCTTCATAAACATTCACACCATCAACATCTTCAAGGTGACTGTAAACAAACATGTAGGTGAAAGGTCAAAAGAACCGTGACACACAGGCTGCAGGTTCAGGGAGCAGCTAAAAACATGCGACCAACATGTTGGCATGCTCACCCGTGCATGGGGTTGGACTGATTTCCACTGTTGGTAATGGTGTTGAAGAGGTTGCTCATGCGCGGGTCCTGGGCGCTCTCCTCCGCAGTGCTGAAGTGGTAGTCCATCACTTTGTCCTTTATACTGTGAGGAATGCCACCTCCACGGTCTGAAATCCTAACGTTGGAGAAAACAAACGGACAGTTTTTAAACGAGGCAAATAACGTCTGATTAATTAAGATCACTTTTGAAAATAAAGAACCGCCCACCCCCACCCTAAAAAAAGAAACTGTTATGATATGGTCCCAGTGGAAATAAACAGTTTCTAACAAACACCAGAGCATTTCGCTTAGAACGGTTTAAAACCTGCTTTTAGTGTGAGCTGCTCAACAGTAGTCGTCATGGCAACAAGCAGCAGCAGTGATGTTGACCCCTTCAGTAAACACGATCATTTTTGACATCAGCAACAAAAAACAGCTGAGCACGTTTGACAGCCCACAGCCCCCCC